CTAAATAGGTCTCATTTTCGCTAGTCACAATGCTACACCATCGGATTTCTGGACAAGTTTTCTTTTGAGACAGATCTCTTTCGCAGATTAACAGTCCGTATATGTCACAAAAAAAGTGAAAAATAACTTTTGATATAAAAGAGTTACTTAAAAACAAAGTGTGTCCTAAGGTACGTGAAACACTGATTCACCGTGTTTTACCCGGTTTCTCTTCGGGAACATAATGCAATCAGGGGCAATCATTCATCTCAGACTCACTTTGAAGTTGAGATCAAACTAGTACACAGTAGTTTTGTTAACACGCTCTCTCTTTGCTTAAATGCTTTCTACTTCTCATAAGAACCATTTTAGTAGTTTTTTCTCATGTATTTCTCAATTATGGTTTGCCATATAACTGGCATTTCATCTCAGAATAAAAGTGAGCACGGTTAAATGTTTTATAGTCCGTCTGTGAGTTTACCGTAAGGTAACGATTGTCATATGTGAAGAAAACATTCACGTTTGGACTTTCGGAGAATGTATATTCGTAGATATTATCGCTAGGTTCAATTCGTTATTAGAGCCAATCTAATATTCTGCGAATGAGGCGGAATGGCTAAGTCCCAATCCTCCGTGCGTCAAACAGAACCGAACTGATCATTGCTACATCCTGAGAGTCACTAACGGCAAAGCGATATTACACCGAGGATACTCACAATTGTTATAACATCAACCTTTCATGCAGTTCTCACTTCTGTGCAGTTTTATTTTGAGATCTTTACATAGCAAACATTAACTGAGTCATTATACTGAGAAAGCCTGTATATCTGGTGCATTTCATGGGAAAGAAGAACCACTTTTGATACCCAAAATGAATGGAGAAAAGTTGCAACTGTGCGACAGTAAAATAGAAAGGATTTTATATATCCCTATTCTCTCACTGCAACTCTTGTGTACTTACTCGGTAAATTGGTTATTTTAATGGTTTAGTTTAACTTTAAAAAGGTTCAAAAAGCAGATCTAAACTGCAAAAAGTTCGAGTATAAAAGTAGTCTACTTTAAGAAATAAAGTGACATATAACCGGCACTTTTTTGTCTCGTTTAAATTGCGAAAAAAAATATTAATGTCGTCAATCATACACGTAGCGAGAATATATATACGTTTATAAGAAGCATGTTTCTTCCTTCGAAGAAAAATGTTAGAAAAGGATAGATTGCTCCATGTGATATAAACATATATATATATACTCTAGCCACGTGTATGATTGACGATACAGAGAGATTCGGGGAGTCGCGGCGCGACTAACGGACTTTATAGCGATCGAGACGCGAGATACCGAATCAATAGCGATGGCGTCGCGAGTCTTCTAAAAATACGTTTCTTGAAATGATACGACTTTACGGCGACTTCGCGAGTTCACAGCTATCGCGCCGCGAGTTAGACGCGAGTGTCGACCTGGATTAGCCTAACTTGTGATATTTCTTCTGCCTTCTGTTTCGTTCCCATAAAACTGCAAAAATAATTTTTCTTTGAAAGAGCACCATAAAACCTATAAGATTTGAAAAAGCAAAGTATACTTGATGGGTGGATCCTTGAAAAAGGATTTTGAAATATCTTAGGCTATTCTCACCAACAGTTTTCATCGAGAACCGATGAAAATTCAGTTCTGTAGGTAGTTTTTGATGCTGAAAACAAATATAATGTTAGCAGGAAGTCTAGACAGAACTAAACATACAAAAAGGAAAGTCAAAGTCGTTTTGTCAATACTGTTTAAGTTCACTTTTATATCATCTATTGCTTCTTTTTAACAAAATTTCTGTTCTTTATTCATTTCTAGTCCTTCAACAGGTTTCCAGATAATTACTGCTGTTGGAAAGTCTAATTCTTCTTTTCTACTTGGATAGGAGAATGTACTTGTCGGTCCACTTGCATGTAAATATGCTGCTCTTTCAAAGACAACAAACATTTTGAATTTTTGTGCAAGACAAGGGGTAGAGGAAACATCACGAATAGGCAAAATGGGTACAAAATCACCAAAACTATCATATTTTGACATAAAAAGTCTTTTAAAGGTTTGTCGACTCTCGTAACAGCTACAAACTGCGATTTTTATCAAAAATCATAATTTTTAATTCTAGACAAGATCTGTATGGTTTCGACGCTTTCATCGAAGGTCAGCGTAAGGATGGTATAGTCCTGATTGGTAGTGGGATAATAACCCACTAAGATCATTCAAAAACGGTAAATGGATAGACGTGGTTTTATTTTCGGAGAATAAATTATTTCCCTAGTTCTATAACTTGTGAATTTTTATTTTAAAAGATCTACTGGTTTAAATATAATTTTTATTTCTCACACTTGTACTTTGACAAAAAAAAGCAAAAACAGTATGTGTATTCACTTACAAATAAGTAATTTATCGAAAAGAATGGAATAGAGATAAGTTCAATATTTAACCACATTTAATGTTTTTTGTCTGAATCTTTGTTTCCACCATGCTCGCCACCTGATGAACTGCTCTTTGGTTCATTAAGCGTTGCTCCCGTTGAGGTAGATGTACCTGCTGATGAGCCACCAACCCCAAGACTTTGTCCCACAGAGCTTATATCATATGTGTTGCTTCCATGAGTGGCAACAACGTGCTTGCCTGTTGATGATGCGGAGTCAGTTTCTTTCGATGACATGTTTTCTGCAATGTTCAAATCGTGAATAACGAATAAATAAATTAATTGTGTATATAATTTTTTTTCTACAAACAATAAAGAAATTGTGTTAAACTAATGAATATCTATCTATAGCTGACTGCTTTCTCTTTTTATTACGTGTATCTGTCACGTTGCAAGCAAATGTATGAATGATAAGAGCACGAAGCTGACACGAGAACTAAAAGTTGCATAGAAGAAGAGAAAAAACTATTTTTCTCTCGTCATTTAGACTCTACGAACCTCATTTTTTTCTTTTCTTTCTACGTTGATATGATGACGTGGAATATTATCCACATTTAAAAAAATGATAAATTTCCACCCGTAATGGAAGACCAGCCTAAGGTTTGTAAGTTGCAAGCCGGTATAGATGATCATGGTCTTTTATTTCTGCTGTATTTTTTTGCAAAGAAATAAAAATATATTTCGAATCAAGAGAAAGAAGTCTTTTAACGTGTCGTACTGAAAGGACGTCCTGTTTGTATTGATTATTCAATCACAAAATTTACTTTGAATAATTCTACTATCCATTTCAATGAACAGTGCACTGTGCAAACAGTGGATGCAAGAAGCAAGAAAACACACGGTGAGGTTGCATGAAATTTCTTCGTGTTACATTGGCAAACTGCATGTTAGTCAAATAATGATTACAATGCCGACTATGTACTAAGTCTACCTGAGTACATGTACAATAGCGTGTGTGATTCTATCTTTTATATAACCTTCATCTGAAAAAACGCATCTCATCATTATACCTGAGAAGAAAAAAAATTAACTGTCAGCATATTACCGTAGCTATATGTTTGAGTTCTATTGCAATAAAGGAGAAACAAACAAACAGTCTTTCGGCAACGAGATCACGACAGTAATGTACTGAATACCGATTAAATTTTGAAAGTTAAGCAACACAGGTCACTGATGGTAAACTAAGTTATTCTTAGCCGCTTTTTGAGTGTTGTCAGTATTTCGTGAGTAATGGAGCAATCATAGTACGCATTCTATAGAAATAAAATCCACCTTATCACTTTTTGTATTACATTATATTCAGAAATTCCACAATGCCTTTGTGATGGAAAGAAACTGAGAAAAAAATTAAAAGATAATGTACAACGGGCGATAATCCTTGCAAAGGCTATAATATTTCGATATAAAATAAAAATACTCATACATAGGTGTGCGCCGAAGCATAAATGCCTCTGTCATTTTGTTAGTTTTTGTTATTATGAGAGAGAGAGTGTATAGTAAGTAGGTGAGCTGAGTCTTACCTACTGATCGATGTAAAAGTTATCTTACAATTCATTAGCGTTAATTAGTACTAATCAATTTTCAGAGAGCAGGTATTACCCCAAATGGGATAATTATGATCAGCACAGCCAAAATGGCTGGAATGAACTTAAAGGACTTTATTTCAAAGGAGAATTTTAAGCAAGAAAATTAAAAATTAGTTCATTTTGTAGAGAATCTCTCTTGACTATATTCACTTTTATTCCAAATCACTTCAACAACCTAAAGGATTAGAAATAACATCTGTATATATAGATGTATTTGCACAGACGTGAGAACGAAGAAACTCTTGGTTGATAATTCACGAAATATCTCTATTCAACACAATGCAAGGGAAAACGACGAGACAAACCTCGAATGTTATACGCACCGAAAAATAAATTCCAAATACGTCATCCAAACGAGCGTAAAAGACTACACAAAACTGCTTGATCGAAATAGTTTTCGGTCAAAAATTAATATCATTTGAAAACCTTTCTTGAATAACCTATAGACATTAAAATGGACGCCAATTTTTAAATTTTCCAAATATGAATATTCAAAACGCCAGAATAAAATCCCGAATCAGCTTAAATTTATAGAGCATAATTTTCTCTACAAAATCATGCCTTTACTCAAGTTGGTACGTTCCGATATAACGCCGGCTCAGTCTGTTTACTTTGTTCTTTTTTGAAGTGCATTTGTAGGTTCAGTCCCGATTCGTCGACAAATTAAAGCCAATTAAGAGATTTTACTGTTTCGTCGACGCAATTTTTTTTTCGTTTCGTCGGCACTTTAAAATTCCTATTTCGTCGACAAAATTTTATTCCGGTTTTGTCGACAATTTTTTTATCCTGAAACGGCGACCAAAGCTGGCAGTGTATAAAAGTAATTCCCTAACACAGTTTTCTTATAGCAGAATTTATAAACTGAACAGTGCACTAAGTGACTTGGCCATGTGGGCTATAATAACTATAGTAAATTTTCTTCGACTTTGCACATTATCTGACTATAAAGTATTGAAACGAGTTAAGATTAATAAGTAATACAATAAAATGTACTCAGTTATCGAAACACAGAAAGGAAAACCATGTTTACTATTTAATGGCTATCGGTATTTGAAAGATAGAACGCGTAATAATAATGTCTATTGGCATTGTGAGAATCGATCCAATTGCTCTGGTCGTGCTACACAAGAAGACAATAGTGCTCCAATTCTCACAGCACCACACAGTCACGAACCAGATAAAAAACGTAATGCCTGTGAAGAATTTCGTACAAAATTAAAACGTCGAATACACGACGAACCATTGTCTGTGAGAAAATTATTCCGTTCAGAATTAATATCTACTCAGACAACAAATCCAAGTGGTGTCTCGATATTGCCGCAGTTTTTGGAAATTAAAAACTCATTATATCATACAAAAAATGAAAACTATCCACGTCTCCCAAAATTAATTGATGATGTGAAGATTGAAGGTATGTTATATTATTGTCTCATTAAAAAATTTATGTGAATCTGATCATGTATTTATGGATGGGACGTTTAAGTCTTGTCCTCCACCATTTGTTCAGTTATATACAATACACAGCTTATTCTCAGTTTTAAATGGCACCATTCCAATCATGTATTCACTATTGCCAGAAAAATCCAAAAAGATCTATATGTCATTATTTAATGCATTGAGAAATTTGACGGTTAAACACGATTTATTACTCAATCCCAAATATATCACAGTGGATTTTGAATTGGGAGCTATCAATGCTTTAAAAATCATTTTTCCAAATTCAGTCATCAAAAGGTGCAACTTTCATTTCAATCAATGCCTATTACAAAAACTGAAAGAATTAGGCTTTCAAAAACAATATAATAATTCAGATGATAATGACTTAGAAAGTGTTAAAACATTATTTCAACGTACAGCTGCATTATCATTCATGCCATTAGATGAAATTGACGCTTTATGGTGTTCAATAACGGATGATTATTCACATATAGTGAATATTACTTCATTCTATGATTATGTCACAGAGACATGGATCGATAATGAGCAGTCAATGTTCGAGAAACCTCTCTGGAATTATTACGATTTTCCTGGCGCCAGAACGAACAATTCAGTTGAAGGATGGCATCATCGGCTAAACTCACAAATTGGTGTCATCCATCCAAATTTATATTTATTCATTAAAGAAATAAAAA